CCTGGCCTTGGTGGGGAGAGGTGCCTCAGCCTCATCGGGGCGGGGCATTACAAATAGTCGTGCCCCATGTCATCGAGGAGTCACTGCTGGCTCGGTCTCACCACCTTTTTGCAGCCAGCACTGGTGCGAGTCACGTGTGCGCGAAGAAGGCAGCACGGTGCAGCAGTGTGACACCACGCGTGAGAGAGAGCACGTGTGCACAAACGCGTGTAAGAGCCTGTTTGGGCAAGGACATGTGCGGAGCACGTGCGTGTGGGAGAATGCATGGGCAGGGGCGTGCGCGCAAGTGTGTTCACTCAGTTGTGTGGAGGCGTGTCGGGCCTGGCAGAGGTGCGTGAGGACGTGCCAGGGCCCTGGTTTGGGATGAGTCCAGGTGCACGTGCAGAGAAGCTGGGGTGCACATGTGTGTGAGCACTCGTGCAGCTGGCGTGTCAGGCTTGGCTCGTGTGGCCGCCCTGCCCTGACACGCCGCTCCCTGCGTGGCGGAGCTGCGACCCGGGGCCGGGGGTCACGGCAGGTCAAGCACTAGAGCAAACGCAGCCGGGCCAGGTTAGCCGGGGCCAAGGGCAGGGCAGGGCAGCGGCAGAACCCGTCTGCCCAGCCCCAGCCCCAGCCCGGAGGGACCGTGGGGGGTGCCTCTGTTGTGTGCCCGGCATTCGCCGCCTGTTCACCTGGGCTGGCACTGCTGTGCCCTGGGGGTGCCCTGCTCGTCCCGGCGGCAGGTCTGCAGGTGCCCCGTGGTCTCCTGCACCCCTCGTCCCCTTTGGCATTGCAAGCGCTGGGCAACCCCCGTGCCCTACCCCTGCCCTCGGGGCCTGCTCTGCCCCCGGCACATGCCCCCGGCGCCGTGGGCCTCCGCGCCCCTCTTGCGTGCCATGACGCTGCCGGCGGGGGCGGCGCGGCACGGCGCGGCGGGGCGGAGAGGCCGCCCCACGACGCGGGGAGCAGGGGGTGGGTGGCCTGTGACTGAAGGAAGTGACTCTGCTTGCGAGACCGTGTCCGGGCCAGCGTTCGGCAGGAAGCGTCTGCTGCAGGCACCGAAACGCCGGCGCGGGGGGGAGGCGG